CAGTGGCGATTGTGAGGGGTGTGGGCCTTACCCCCACGAATTCCCCCCCCCTGGCTTTGGGGTTGGGGGAATTCTGGGATTTGAAGTCCACCCATCTTCAAGCTGCCAAGGTTGAAAAACACTGAGCTAGAGGATGGAACTGACCCCACGATCCTGAAGTTCAGATTCACATCTAGCGACTGATCCACCAGGAAGTCAAGCTGTTACCTCTGGTCTTCAGTTTCCAATTTAGAAAATTGTGCCGATTTTGCAAAAGGGTGAACAGGAGGGAAAAAGAGGGCCTCTGTTTAATACTTGCATGCTTAAAGTGCTCTAACTGATGGGGGGGGGTGGCGGCGCTGGAGAAAGAAATAAAATAAGAAGTTAGGGAAACGTCATAATTAAAACAAAAATCAAAGTTTTTCCTAGCATCCGTGAAAATGAGGGCTTACTTTGAAAGGAAAGAAGTTTAAAATCGTCAGGTTCCCGGGTTTAGGCAATGCTCTGGAGAACCGTGCAAATTACTGCAATGAATCAGACTGAAGGGAACCTCAAGGTATCCCTGTTTTCTTCACATCCAGCCCTGCTGGGTAGGCTCCTGAACCCCTCCATGGGCCTATCCACGTTTGCACTGTAGGGAGGTCTTGAGTGTGGGAGGGATGCTCCAAATTTTCAAAAGGATGCGCAAGGCGCCTTCTGCACAAGCCAGGCCAGCTGCTGTTTTGGAATCCGACAGAAGGCCTTCCATGTTCCAAACAGCAGATTTCCCCATCCCGGCAGCGGAGGGATGCTGTTTGAATCCTTGGAGCTGCTCTCGGCATCAGGTCAGGCTGGAGGTCAGGGAGGGCAAAGGAGAAGGCATCAATTGTGCATTTCAGAAGTGCGGCTCTTTGGGCTTCGAAACCAAGCAACCGCTGGAGCCGCAGAGCCCAAAGCAGGAGAATGAAAGCAGAACATTTCGGGGGGGGGGGTGCCAAAGAGGACAGAATTCAGACTCTGAATGTCACCGAGCATTTGAGGTGAGCTGGCTCGAGACCATCGGCGAAGGCCACCAGGAAATACATCACCTTCCGAATTTTGGCCAGCTCCACCAGCCGCTCTCCAAACTCCAGAGCATCAGCTTCATCGCACTCCACTTCCTGCGCCTCCGGCTTCTTCCAAAAAACCCCAACCGGTTCCAGGAGCTGCCTTCGCATAAGGTTGGTCAAGTCCGGGGTCCAGTGCTGAGAAGTTCCAGTGACGGTGGCCTTGCCTGGCTTGTCCAGGGCCACATTCCAGCGCAGGAAACGGAGGCCGTGCTGGCGAGAGAAATCCACTCGGAAAATGAATTCGTTTGCCTGGAGGAGTTTCTCGCCGTCCTGAGGCTTCTCGTTCTTGTGCTGGAGGCTCTTCACCCGGATTCTCATGCACTTGGTTAGCTGGACGTCTTGGACCAAGGGCAGTTCCAGCTCGGCAGCCTCTGAACTCATAATTCTCCTGCGCCACCTCTTCTTCCCGATCTCCTTCTGTGGCGAGACTCTGCAGGGCAGCGCGGTCCTGCAAGTGGCCGAGATGTTTGGCAGGCAACAGGAAATAGGATCTGCTTCTCTCGCTGGCTGGCTGGTACCCCAGTGATGCTAAGCAACCTGGGCCAGGGAAGCAGAGTGCCCGAGGGGGTTTCCTCTGGGCCCCTCATTTCCCAGGGAGGAACACGTTCATAGATGGTTACAATCATCTACGGAGCTGAGTCTCTTGACATCTGCTGCCCTAACAACCTGGCTTAACAACCGTTCCCAAGCAAGAACACGTTTAGCTTTAAATGAGGTCCCCTCGGGGCAAAGGGGGCTCCCTCCTGGACAGGGGGAGGAAGGGAGGGAGAGATTGACTTTTGGGGAGAGCTTTTCAATAGGCACCATGCATCTGGAGCAAGGACTTGGTCCCGGTACCGTTGAGTCTGTAATAAAACCTACCCAGATTGTAACGTACATCCATCTTTTCCCCATGTCTTGTTTCCTCTGTGGAGGAGCCGTCCAACCAAATTTTAGCCCTCGAGACTGGCAAAAATACAACTCCCATGCTTCCCAACCAGCCTGTGGTCAAACGGCGGGGGGAAGGAGGAGATGTCGAAGAAGGCTTTCTATCAAGGTAATTGCAAACGTTTTTCCTAATGGTGATTGAAACCCAGGCAGTCTGCCCAATGGCCCTGGTTCCAGAGTCTTTTAGGATTTAAAGAGGGTTTTTAGAAACCAAGCCCTTGGAATTCTGCCCGGGTATTTGAGTGGTAGCTGGCAAAATGCTTTTGACCCCGCCAAATGGGAGTCACGACTGGATGTTTTGATCAACAGCTCTGCAGCTGCATTGTGAACCAGATGAAACCTCTAGCAAACCTCCAGAGCAGTGTTTTTCAACCTTGGGAACTTGAAGATGGGTGGACTTCAACTCCCATGCTGGCTGGGGAATTCTGGGAGTTGAAGGCCAACCATCTTCAAGTTCCCAAGGCTGAGAAACTCTGTTCTGGAGGATTAACTTGGAGCATCAATCCACCAGAGAGGACACAGCCTCTCTATTTTCCAAGATCTTCCCAATGCAGTTCTCCCCAGTTTAGGAAGAGACCAAATTATGTGACTGGCCCCAGAAACAGAGGGGGCTTCAAAAATTACCCCACCCAGGTTTTCTAAGCCCACTGCAAGCACAGTGAAAGGGCCCTCAGAGGTTTAGACCTGCTTGTAATGGACTCAGCAACATCAGCATCACCACAGTTCTTCCAATCATCCTGGCTAGTTGCTTTCTTGCAACAAGTTAAATGTGCCAGGTCTGTGTTATTCTCAGCTGCCGTTGTGGGTTGCTAAGATGTTTCCACAGCAGTGCCCAGGTGCATAATGGGGGCCTCACAGTTGGCTTTCCCTATTCATAATACTAGAGTTGGGAGGAACCTTGGAGGTCACCTAGTACAACCCCCTGCTCAGTGCAGGTCCACAAGAGCATCTCTGACAGTCAGGCAATGCTACAGATAGTCCTCAACTTATGACCACAATAGGGACCGGAAAATTCATTATTAAGCAATGCGGTTGTTAATCAAGGCATCACATGACTACACCCAATTTTACAACATTTTTTGCGCCAGTCATTAAGCCAATCACATGGTCGTTAAGTGAATCATGAGGGTAAGCAAATCATGTGGTCCCCCATTGATTTTTCTTGTCAGAAGCCAGCTGAAGGTCACAAATAGCGATGACCCCAGGACACTGCACCTGTTGTAAATACACGCCAGTTGCCAAGTGCCCGAATTTTGATCACATGACTGCTGGGACGCTGCGACAGTCGTTAGTGTGAGGATTGGTCATAAGTCACTTTTTCAGCACCGTCGTAACTTAGAACAGTCACTAAATGAATGGTTTTAAGTCGAGGACTACCTGTACTGGGAAAACTATGCTTTGAGAAGAACACAGCAATGGATCTGAGACTCTGCAAAGTGGCTCCTGTCATGTACTTGACTTAATGCCTGTCAGATGCCTTCAAGGTAATAATGTTTGAAGATGTGTGAACCTGTTTCCAGGGCATGCCTGGTATGGAGGTTGGGCACCATCTCTCCTTGTCAGCATGTGATCTAAAAAAAAAAGAAGGCCCACACCCATGTCTTCCCTGCAGGCCCTAAAGTGGCTGAGGATAATGGAAGCTGACGTCTAACACATCTGAAAGCATCAAATTGGGGGATGCAGTCCACTTTACAGCCCAGCCTGCTGCAGACACAGGGCAAAGAGCTTTATTTCCAAATTAAGCAAGCCGACAGGGAGATAAGAAAGGAGGAAAACAGAGTTCTTGATTTTGTTCTGGCGAGGGCGGCTCTGTTCATGCAACCCAGCTCACTGGGCCAGTTAAAGCAATGGGCAAAGCTTGGCTCGTTTTAACCTTCGGCTCTCTTCGTTTTATTTTGGCAGCCTTGAAAGCTGGGCAGATCCAGGACCCTACAAGGTTTGGCGCCTTGTGCAAAGTTATTTTAAAAAGAGGTTATTTGGTAGCCTGGTCATTTGGTAGCCTTGCAAACACCGTCCCTACCAACATACCTCCTCAGAAATATAACCATTCCTATATAGGTTTATTGCTGACTGGAAACCCCTTACAGACTTCTTGTGTGAAACAGAAAAAAAAAAGAACGTATGATTTATGGTTTTGTTGATTAGCAGGATAGATTATGGAAAGAAGAGAGTCATGTTGTAATCATAGAATAAGAAGTAAATTTATAATTGTATTTATAATGGCTGTAAAGAAGATCAGAAGCTACTTCTTTGTATCTGTTTTCTTTCTTTTCCATTTTTCTTTTACTTTCTTTCCCCTTTCTTGCTCTTTTAGCTTTCTCTTTGACTTCTTTTTCTTTTCTTTTTCTTGCTTTACATTAGGTTTGTATTCGTTTTTAATCTTCCTTTTTAAAAAAGTCTTTAATAAAAATCAGATACCATCGCTTCTTCTGATGTCAAGGAGGTGTGCGTGGGTTGGCAACGTGGCAAGTCAAAGAACAACCTCTCACGTTACCTGCAATGGGTGTGTCTTCTCCCTTCTGCCCATTCACCCCCCTTCTCTCCCATCTATCAGAGCATTAAAAACAATCACCTTCTGCCCCAGTGGAGAGATGGGCCAAAGGGGCCCGGAGAAAAATGGGTTTTCTGCAGTTGAGGGGGGAGGAAGTGGCCAGTTTAGGTAACAGAACCCACATGTTGACTTATTCTCTAACGCACTTTCTCACTGGTTGAATGTGGAAGAGGGAGCAATATAGTCCTTGCACCTAGAAAACTAGCTGGCCAAGCATAAAACCTTTCTCAAAGCCATTTCTTTTCCATGCAAGCTTTCTGGGTGTCAAATGTATGATTCCCTGCCCACTCTCAAGAAGAGCCACCACTACCCCCACTTGGGCCCTCCAGATCCGTCAGGTTACCCACTCCCATCATTCTCAGCCACACAGAGAATATTCCAAGGGGCAACCTTCTTGCACGGTGCGAAGACAGCTCTGCTGTTTTGAGCCTTTAGAGTGGAGGAAAGAAGAAAGCCACAAAGGGTCCACTGAAGAGCTGGTCCAAAGACAGCAAAGGGCCAAGGACTGGAAAATTATTTCCACTTACGAACAACCCTCCCTTAGGGCAGCAGTTGGAAAATGCAAGGCAGAAGAAGCCCTGAAACCTTCAAAGGAGGCCCAGGACTTGGTTCTCCTGCCCTGGTTACAGCAGAACTGGGTCTGGTTAGGGATCTCACGATGGAAAGGTATGACACAGCCCATGGAAAGATGAAACTTCTTTGATGCGCCACCTTCTGAATTTCATTCATCACGAGGTTCTCTGGAGGCTTCGATCGGAGGATTACAACACAGCAAGAGAAGCACAATACCTCTTTCTAAGGTGCCTTTGACACCATGGATGTTGCTGGTCAAGCGACTCAGTGGCCCCGTTGGTGGCATCTAGTCAACCTTGGCTGATTTAGGAAGCTTGGAAGTTTTGGATTTGGACTCTTTATCAGGAAGTGGGGTGGTATCAAGCATGGGGGAAGCCAAAAAGAATCGTATTATTGGATATTAGTAGGTTTATGGGAAAATCTTTAGATGTTAAAGATGTTAATGTAATGTTGAATGATATACCAAAGCTCTGGAGTTTGACTGTTCATCAGGAATTGGGGTAGTATTGAGCATGGGGGTGGCAAAAAGAATTATATTAAGAAATTGGGAAAGTGATGTTATTCCAGATGTCAAGGAATGGTGTCGGAAAGGTGTGATCTATCAGTTTTGGGAAAGGCAATATTTTCCACTAACCAAAGGATGCAGCAATATGTGTTACTATGGCAGAGATTCAGTGATATCTTACAATAATATCTTGTACTGTTCATATTATAGTAGTGAATTCATTGGTATAACAGTGACTTATCAGTCACATAAGATAGATTTTTTTTCTTTTTTCTTCATAGTTTGCATTTTTAGTTTGTACTTTTAATGTTTTTAAAATTTCTTTTTTTTTAAGATTAAAGATTGTTTTGTTACAAAAATAAAGTCATAAAATATTTTAAAAATTGGCTGATTTAGGAAGCTAAGTAGGGCTAGCCCTGGTTGCAACTTGGATGAGAGACCACCATGAAATCCTAGGTCTGAAGTTGAAAAAACACCCTGGAGGAAGGCAGCAGTGAACTATTTCTACAGCGTTATCAAGAAAACTGTAAGAGCATGTCCCATAAGTAACGAGCCAACCTCTTACAAAACTAATAATAATATAATACACTAAAGTAAATCTTGATTTAACAGACCACGATCTAGCAGAGGCGACTGACAAGCATGAAGTATCTGAACTAGTCAAGATGAGGCACTTAAAAGCATGTTGATTTCTGTCCAATCGACTCAAATGACATAAATGTATTTCAGTTGCACAATGCTATCATTAAGCAAATCACGTCAAATGATGCAAATGATATAATTTGCATAATCGGGGATTGGAGCAAACGACATAATGCACTGCAACCGATGGATTTTCAGATTTAAGAGGCTCCTCCAATCTGTCTGTCAAATGGAGGGTTTGCTGTACTCAAATTCAGCCCCCTGATCGCAACTAAAAGTCAACAGCAACACAAAACCCTAAAAGGCCTGGAATAAAAGCATGTTTGCATCTCCAGTGGCTTTAAATTCCATGCCCTAAACTGCAATGTGGAAAAAAGGAGCATGGATTTTGACCTCTAACATCATCTCCAAAAAGGGCTCTGTTTGTGGTGGGACCTATAGGCATATCCTCCCTAAACTGACCGCTTATTTTCCTATGCTTCCTATCCACCATTTCAATGTGGTTCACTAAATACAAACACCAACAATTAAAGGAATACAAACTGCCTGGAACCTTTTATGGGGAGAAAAAGTGGGGTGGGGGGGGCAACCAAAATAAAGCCCCATTTCTCCAATGTTCACATGAAGAAAGAGGGCTTCAAAAAGGCACCCAAAAGATGTAATGGGAGGTGTTCGTTCAATTTCAAGTGATAGCACTCCAAGTTACAGGTGGCACCAAAGGATACATTTAGACCTTGTTTAGTGACCATTCACAGT